GGTGCAATGTGGGATGGGTGGTGGCCGAGGGCGGGGACCCTGGCAGCTCTGATCCTCGGCTACAGAAGCTGGCTATTGGGACGTGGAATGTCACCTCACTGGTGGGGAAGGAGCCTGAGATGGTGTGTGAGGCTGAGAGGTTCCGGCTAGAAATAGTCGGACTCACCTCTATGCATGGCTCGGGCTCTGGAACCAGTTTCCTTGAGAGGGACTGGACACTCTTCCACTCTGGAGTTGCCCCTGGTGAGAGGCGCCGAGCAGGCGTGGGCGTACTTATTGCCCCCCAACTTGGTGCCTGTGTATTGGGGTTCACCCCAGTGAATGAGAGGGTGGCCTCCCTCCGCCTACGTGTGGGGGGACGGGTTCTGACTGTCATTTGTGCTTATGCACCAAACGGCAGTTCAGATTATCCACCCTTTCTCGAGTCCTTGGAGGGGGTACTGGAAAGTGCACCTCCTAGGGACTCCCTTGTTCTGCTGGGGGACTTCAATGCTCATGTGGGCAATGACAGTGAGACCTGGAGGGGTGTGGTTGGGAGGAACGGCCCCCCTGATCTGAACCAAAGTGGTGTTCTGTTGTTGGGCTTCTGTGCTCGTCATGGATTGTCAATAACGAACACCTTGTTCAAGCATAAGGGTGTCCATATGTGCTCTTGGCACCAGGACACCCTAGGCCGCAGTTCAATGATCGACTTTGTCATCGTCTCATCTGATCTGCGGCCACATGTCTTGGACACTCGGGTGAAGAGAGGGGCGGAGCTGTCAACTGATCACTACCTGGTGGTGAGTTGGCTCCGATGGTGGGGGAGGATGCTGGTCAGACCTGGCAAACCCAAACGTATTGTGAGGGTTTGCTGGGAACGTCTGGCAGAGTCTCCTGTGAGACGTAGTTTCAATTCCCACCTCCGAGAGAACTTTGAACATGTTCCGAGGGAGGTGGGGGACATTGAGTCTGAGTGGACCATGTTTCGTGCCTCTATTGTCGAGGCGGCTTACCAGAGCTGCGGCCGCAAGGTTGTCGGTGCCTGTCGTGGCGGCAACCCTCGAACCCGATGGTGGACACCGTCGGGGAGGGATGCTGTCAGGCTGAAAAAGGAGTCCTATCGGGCCTTTTTGGCCTGTGGGACCCCAGAAGCAGCTGATGGGTACCGGCAGTCCAAGCGACATGCAGCTTGGGTGGTTGCTGAGGCAAAAACTCGGGCATGGGAGGAGTTTGGAGAGGCCATGGAGAATGACTTCCGCACGGCTTCGAGGCGATTCTGGTCCACCATCCAGCGTCTCGGGGGGGAAAGCGGTACGCCACCAACACTGTTTATAGTGGGAGTGGTGTGCTGCTGACCTCAACTCGGGATGTTGTGGGTCGGTGGGCGGAATACTTTGAAGACCTCCTCAATCCCACCGGCACGTCTTCCACTGAGGAAGCGGAGCCTGGGGACTCTGGGTCGGGCCTTCCAATCTCTGGTGCTGAGGTCATCGAGGTGGTTAAAAAGCTCCTCGGTGGCAGGGCCCCAGGGGTGGATGAGATTCGCCCAGAGTTCCTTAAGGCTCTGGATGTTGTAGGGTTGTGTTGGCTTACGCGACTCTGCAATATTGCGTGGACATCGGGGGAAGTTCCCTTGGATTGGCAGACAGGGGTGGTGGTCCCCATATTCAAAAAGGGGGACCGTAGAGTGTGTTCCAACTACAGGGGAATCACACTCTTAAGCCTCCCTGGTAAGGTCTATTCGGGGGTTCTGGAGAGGAGGGTCCGTTGGATAGTCGAACCTCGGATTCAGGAGGAGCAGTGTGGTTTTCGTCCTGGCCGAGGAACACTGGACCAGCTGTACACTCTCAGCAGGGTCCTGGAGGGTGCGTGGGAGTTTGCCCAACCAGTCTACATGTGCTTTGTGGACTTGGAGAAGGCGTTCGACCGCATCCCTCGAGGGACCCTGTGGGGGGTACTCTGGGAGTATGGGGTACCGGGCCCTTTGATACGGGCTGTTAGGTCCCTGTATGACCGGTGTCAGAGCCTGGTCCGCATCGTCGGCAGTAAGTCGGGCTTGTTCCCGGTGAGAGGTAGACTCCGCCAAGGTTGCCCTTTGTCACCGATTCTGTTCATAACTTTTATAGACAGAATTTCTAGGCGCAGCCAAGGTGTTGAGGGGATCCGTTTTGGTGGCCTTAGGATTGCGTCCCTGCTTTTTGCAGATGATGTGGTCTTATTGGCTTCATCAGATCGTGATCTACAGCTTTCGCTGGAGCAGTTCGCAGCCGAATGCGACGCGGCCGGGATGAAGATCAGTTCCTCCAAATCCGAGGCCATGGTCTTGAGCCGGAAAAAGGTAGAGTGCCCTCTCCGGGTCAGGGAGGAGGTCCTACCCCAAGTGGAGGAGTTCAAGTGTCTTGGGGTCTTGTTCATGAATGAGGGAAAATGGAGCGTGAGATCGATAGGCGGATAGGTGCAGCGTCTGCAGTGAAGCGGGCGCTGTACAGGTCTGTCATGGTGAAGAGAGCTGAGTCAAAAGGCGAAGCTCTCAATTTACCGATCGACCTACGTTCCTACCCTCATCTATGGTCACGAGCTTTGGGTTGTGACCGAAAGAATGAGATCTCTGATACAAGCGGCCAAAATGAGTTTTCTCCGCAGGGTGTCTGGGCTCTCCCTTAGAGACAGGGTGAGAAGCTCGATCATCCGGGAGGGACTCAGAGTAGAGCCGCTGCTTCTCCATGTTGAGAGGAGCCAGTTGAGGTGGCTTGGGCATCTGTTTAGGATGCCTTCTGGACGACTCCCTGGTGAGGTGTTCCGGACACGTCCCACCGGAAGGAGGCCCAGAGGAAGACCCAGGACACGCTGGAGGGACTATGTTTCTTGGCTGGCCTGGGAACGCCTCGGGATTCCCCTGGAAGAGCTGGCTCAAGTGGCTGGGGAGAGGGAAGTCTGGGCCTCCCTACTTAGGCTGCTACCCCCACGACCCGACCCCGGATAAACGGAAGAAAATGGATGGATGGATGGATGGATTAATCTCAAATATTTTTTCTGATTAATCTCGATTAATCTCATTAGTATGCGCAAAATTAAATTATGACTTAAAGATGTTTAGAATATTTTTAAGGTACTGTTTTATTTAAACAATATTCAATACATTAAAAAGGCACTTGTTAACAGCAGTTAACACTGTTCACCTAACAATTAAAATGTTTCTAATAACATAAACATGAACATATCAAATATGAAACCAAAGCTATTTGCCAGGGCTAAATGTTTTTAGTTTATTTTAGAGAGAAAATAAAAAAATAATAATTTCAAATCCAAAGCCACAATCATAACAGATTAACAACAAATTCAAAAATATATATGTTTTTTCTGAAAAGTTACAAGAATAAACCTTTTTTAAATCAGGAACATGATGAACAGTTTATCTTTTGATGCTGCTCAATAATCCAGGTAGATAGATTTGATATATATATATATATATATATATATAATATCCCCTTTTTATTTGTTTTCTTAGACGGTTCAACAAAGAGGTGCAGCAGTCATCAAGGCCAGGAAGTTGTCCAGTGCCATGTCTGCAGCAAAGGCCATCTGTGACCACATGAGGGACATTTGGTTTGGCACCCCAGAGGTAAACCCCATGTTTACTCATAGCATTCTTAAATTTCACAGATTTGACTTATATTAGCACAGACCAAAAAAAAAAAAAGTATATTTGTACTTCATTGATTTTAAACAGAAATGTTAAACTAATTTCTACTGAAATGTACAGTTTTTATAATATATATATTTTTATATATGAACACATTTTGGTATGCACACGATTGTTTATACTTGAGAATATGTTATGTAAGTGATTTATTTATACACTGTAATTTTGGTTAATCTTGACAGATGCTGAAGTTAATGTTAATTTGATGGGTGGTAAAACCATCTCATCAAATCCTTGTGATTACATCTACATGTTTAAATCAAGTGAATATATATTAACATATAACATTTTGGATTTAGACGCATTGTGTTTCAAATGCATTTTTGACAAGTTTTCTCTTATCTTTTGCAGGGTGAGTTCACCTCAATGGGTATCTACTCCTCTGAAAACACCTATGGAGTCCCAAAAGACCTCATCTACTCATTTCCCGTCCAGATCAAGGTATCAGCCTTGTTTTCTCTCCTCTAACAGAACACTTGTTTTTTTCATTCAGCTAAAAGTTAGTATTAAACTACAATAGTATGATATCATTAACCATGCTGTCAAGATTTCATTAGTATCGTAGATAAATGTCTTTTCAGTACTGTATTTCACTTTCTGTTAAATTGCCCCACATTAAGTTACTGGACGTGTACAGTACTGTATGTGTCTTATATGTCTATAAAATACTGAGGGGGTGCTCTTTCCCCAGGACAAGACCTGGAAGATTGTGGAGGGTCTGGCAATCAATGATTTTTCTCAGTCAAAGCTGGATGCCACAGCAGCAGAGCTGATAGAGGAGAGAGACACAGCTGTGGCTTTCCTGGGAGTATGACTGGACCCACCACTTCAGCATATAGACAGCCCCAAAATTCTAGAGGCACGCCTCTAATGAAGCACGCCATCTGCTTCTTCATCACTACATGAAGTTAAAGTTCGTCTTTGAGTGTAAAGATGGGTTTATATTTGTGTGTAAAACTGGTATCTAACTGGTCGGATTTGAGCCCAGACTTATTCTGTGGCCTAGAAAAAAAGGATGTATCTTTGCTTTGGATGCAAGTGATTGAACAAAATTAGTCTCTTCTTCAATAGACATCAGAGCAGCTGCATACCACCAAGCAAAAATATAACTTATAGTCACCTATAGTTACAGTATTTTCCAAACTTCATTCTGTGGAGATGAGTGTATGAATTACTACTATATATTGTCAGTGATGCAATCTTCAAGCACAGTAATGGATAATAATGTAATGGACAGTAACAATAAAAAATGAAACTAGTTAGTTGTTTCTTCTTGTTCTTAAATGCAGTTTGGCAAAGAAGAGCTATTTGGTATACATTTATTGGTTTTGGCTGCATATAAGTATATTTTATTGGCAACAATTATGATGTCCATGATGTCTATCAGTACAGTCCTGTGCATATGAAGTTGTTAGACTCTCAATTAAGTTCACTTAAAATCTAAATGTTAATCTTAATCCAGTATGATCTTATAAACAAGAATTTAGGTTTGGAGTTGAACTAGTTGCAGGGAAAAGCTCTTTGGTAAACTCATATTAGATCAGATTGGGATGTGATAAAGGTATGTATACAGTCGTACTCTTTCTTTTTTTTCCCCCCTTAAATATTATAGAACACTTTCAGACTGAATTATACATTTGATTTCTTCAAATTTAATCTTTGGGAAAAATAATGTTTACAGTAAGTTGTCATGTACTGACAACACAAAAGATAATAATAGAAATGTCTCAACTTCTACAGTTTCTGCAACTTTGTTGCCTTGAACCACTTTGGCTGTGGCTGCCTGCCTGGGAGGAGTCGACTGGGGACAGGCCGGCCCCCAAAAACCCTTGGCTCCAGCAAACTGGTTGGTCCAATTAAGGAGTTTACTGCTTGGTGGGAAACAGTTGACTGGAACTCCTCTGACTGATGAAACTCTCCGGATAGAGGGTGAAACGTCTCTATAAAATTAAACTGTCCAGATGACCTGACTGAGAATTATTGGACAAAAAAAATCATTGTAAATTTAAAAATACTCATTTAAACTTTTTTAAACTAATTTTAATATTTAATCTTAATAACAAATTTTCTTCATTGATGCGCAAGAAAGAAGTAACACATTTTAAATAAATTTAAATCACACATGTACACACACCCACACACAAAACAAGCTGTAAGGTACTGAAAAGACAATTACTCTAATTATTGTTTGCCACCATGAAAGGTGGGGTCAGCCATGTCTTTGTGTGTGTGTTTTGTTTGCATGTGTGTCTGGCACAATGGCTCATGAATCACAGCCAGACTTGAATTGAAGCTCAAAATAATACACGAACGCCCATCTACAAGTTATTAATTTTGGAGTTGAGTTAACCCAATTGAAAAATTACCACCCAGCTAATTGACCTTCACAAGTACAAAAATGGCCATTACTCAGTAAATTTTATAGATAGTGAGATAAAAATTGTTGTGGTAGTTGAGAGTCACTCCAAACAGTGCATTGCACAGCATTTTTGTTAAAAACCTTGGCATTCAACGTAAAAGTTTAAATGTATTCCTTCAAGAAATACAGCGTACATTTTTTTTAAATAAAATGGTTTTCATCATTGAAATATTTCAGCAACTCGACGTGTTGTCTGACAAACTTATTTTATTTATACATTATTTTAAAATAAAATGGAATGTGATTAGATAATGTATTTTTGAAATATGTAATGCCTGAATGCTTTTGTCATGTCTATAAATGTTGTAAAACGTATAAATGGTAACATCACAGATGATCAAGACAAGTTAGATTAAAAAGTTTGACTTCTGAATTTTGCAATAAGTCAACTATGTTGATTTGTGATATGCAGATATTGATAGTTTGTGGCAAATGCTGGCACAGATATAATCAATATTCAGAACTGGTTTTCTCAATGTTTATCCCCCCCCCAAAAAGATTGATCTAAATGTTGTTTTATAATAGGGGTGATGAATTCTCAAAATGTCAACAGTTTCATGTTGAAAAACTTTTTATCAACATTTACTACTAACTTGTTCCACTGGTCTCCCTCTCTTTTACACATGTACTGTCTTACTATGGCTGACTTTAATTCCTTTTCTTCCAAGTGCATACCTCCACCTCCAAGTTCTCTTCTACCTGTTCTCTGTTCTACTCACAGATCACAATGTCATCTGTAAACATTATAGTCCATGGAGATTCCTGCCTGACCTCATCTGTTAGTTGGTCCATCGCCAGAGCAAACAAGAAGGGGCTCAGAGCCGATCCTTGATACACTCCCACCTCCACCTTGAAGCTATTTGTCACTCCTACAGCACATCTCACCACTGTCCTGCTGTCCTCATACATGTCCTGTACCAGTCTAACATACAAGTCCTGTACCAGTCGAACATACATGTCCTGTACCAGTCTAACATACTTCTCTGCAACTCCAAATGTCCTCATTCAAAACAACGTTCCTCCTCCCTCGGCACCCTGTCATGCCTTTTCTAAATTCACAAATATACGACAACAATCTTTCTGACACCTCTCTGTACTTCTCCATCAGCATCCTCAAAGCAAAGATGGCATCTGTGGTGCTCTTTCTTGGCATGAAACCATATTGCTGCTTACAAATGATCTCCTCTTGTCTAAGTCTTGCTTCCTCAACCCTCTCCCAGATCTTCATCGTGCGACTCATCAACTTAATTCCCCTGTAGTTGCTACAACTCTGTGCATCACGTTTTTTCTTAAAAATGGGCACCAGCACATTTTGCCTCCTTTCCTCAGACATTTTCTTACTCTCAAAAATGCCATTGAATATTTGAGATCTCACTGCCATCTCTCCTAGACATTTCCATACCTCCACTGGTATATCTTCAGTTCCTACTTCCTTCCCCCTTTTTATCCTCTTCAAAGATTTCCAAACTTCACACTCACTAAACTTTCACTTCTGACACTCTTTTCACCTCTACTATGTTCTTTGCAAACTCCTTCCTGAGGACCCCCCATACTCCATTTATCTTTATATCCACACCATGGTAATACAGTTTAAACCCTGCTCCAAATCCAATAATGCTCAGTCAGGTCATCTGGACAGCTTCTTTTTTGTAGAGACATTTCGCCCTCTATTCGGAGGGCTTCATCAGTCTGAGGATTCCCAAGTAAACTGTTTACCCATCAAAAAGTACACTCTTTAAGTGGACCAACCAGTTTGCTGGAGATAAGATGGTTTCTGGGGGCTGTCCTGTCCCCCGTCGACTCCTCCCAGGCAGGCAGCCACAGCCAAAGTGGTTCAAGACATCAAAGTTCATGCTCAGTCATCCAGGTCGAAACTGTCCAGATGACCTGACTGAGCTTTATTGGATCTGGATGATTGAGCATGAACTTTGATGCCTGCTCCAAATGCTGCAATGCAAGCCTTGCTGCGCTTTCACTTGGTCTTTTGGACACATTTACTTTCCTTCTCTGCATCATGCCAGCCAGCTCTCTACCTTTGCCTGTCATTGCCCCCAATTTATTAGTTTGTAACCTCAGTTCTACATTTTTGACTTTCCTCTTCTCCCTCTGTTTCTGACAAGTTTCCCTCCTCGTGGTTTTCGACTAACAGTAGCACAATTTCCACCGGCACCCTGTTCGTCTACATCACCGCTGGCGGTCGTCGTTAACCTGGGTCTCGACTGATCTGGTATGGTGTCATTTGGATGAACTTGTATGTTAGCTTTGCCAAAAATGTTTTGCGCCCCACGCTCATCCTGATACAACTCTCACCATTTTTCGGGGCTTGTGACCAGCACAATAGATACACTGGCTTGTGCTCCGTGGCTGGTTTATTTATATATGAAATAATGGTGTTAAATAATGAGCTAATAATTGTATTGCCTTATTTCAGTGGGCCCAAATGTTTTTAGACTATTTGTTAAAAAGTGAAATGACACAGTTTTGCCAGACAGGGGCATTATTTCCTAATATTTACTTCCCAACTGCATTAGGTCTGCTTATGTAACGTAGTCAACGTAGTTAATCTCTTTTGTATGTTTCATCACTGATTTTAAAAAGTAATTGCAGCCATCAAATGCACAAGGAAAATGTATATCCCCCAAATAAAGGGGAAAAGGTTAAACTACTATAGCATGTGGCTATACTTTAAAATGTTTTTAGATGAATAACATTTATTATGGTAATTTAAAGGTCAGTGAAAACTACTTTTTTCCCATCCAAGAACAGTAAGTAGAGCCACAAACACTGTTGTGGCAAAATTACAAGTAGGTATCTCTGCAGGCAAATTCGGAAGGCGTCTCTGCAGGCAAATTCAGAAGGCGTATCTGGGCGATCATATCTGATTGGACTATAGGAAAGTAGGCGTATCTGGGCGGTCATATCTGATTGGACTATATGAAAATGGGCGTGTCTGGCCGTCCGCATATGATTGGACGATAGAAAAATAGGCGTGTCTGGCCGGCCATATTTGATTATACAATAAAAAATACCATACCATACCAATTTATTTATATAGCACTTAAAACAGCAACA